TTTCGTTTCGTTTTTTATACTTCCGATGGCCTACACTACAGTATAGTAAAAACAAGTAAAACGAAATTTCGAACTATAAAAAAACGAAACGAAACAGAATCTGTGTTTTAATCAGATTGCCACAAATTAATTCTAAAAAGATGCTTTATTTATAATTTTTACGATTTTATTAAATTCTGTATATGTTTTTGCCAAATAAATCTATCCGTCTATCAGACTGACATACAGATTACGGACAATGATCAGAATATGCCCCCTTTTCTTACTGTTGATTCAAGGGACCCCAGTGACATTTTAAGCCCAACGAAAATGAAAGCTTAATCCGGCCCTGGCGAAAAGTCACACAAGGTCTAACAAATTGCAGCCTCTGAAATCCCAAGGGGCTACAGTGAAATAGGAAACAATACCCTCTCCCACCTAGACCTAGACCCCTTGCTCTGGACTTTTCACTCTCTCATAACTGTGTCAATTGTTTACGAAACTTTAAGATTTTGGATACGTTGTGTAGATAATGCACATCAATAACATATCTTCCATGTCGGCCACTTTTTGCAATATCTTGGACCGTCACTGTTAGCTTGTTTTTTTATCTGACCCAACTGCTGATTTACCAATCTGATTAAAACATAGATCCTATTTCGTTTCATTTTTATAGTTCAAAATTTCGTTTTACTTGTCTTTACTACACTAGGATCTGGAAGAGTGTGTTATTGACGTGTTCTGAATGGTGTGAGAGATTAGTCAATGAAACGGTCTGTTACGGCGAGCTTTAGGCGTGTTTTGCAAGGAACTTTGGGTAATCCATTAGAATAACATCAGTGCTGATTGGTTAATCAAATGTCTGATCTCATAGGGTCAAAAGCCTCTCGTATAACATCTGACGTGACCTATCGCTACAACTGGTCAGATCTTCATGTGGTAGGCCATCGAAAGAATAAAAAAACGAAACGAAATATAGATCTGTATTTTAATCAAATTGCTGATTTACTGAACGCTAGTTATAACCACCCGATCCGCACTAGGGGCCTATTTCACGAAATTTTAACTAAGATAAAATCCAAATTTTAGTAATTTGATTGGATAATATTAGATTGATTTTACTGCTTAGCCAATCAAAATTGAAGTATCTACTAAAATTTGGATTTCATCTTTAGTTAAGATTTCGAGAAACAGGACCCAGACGTTCAATATTCAATCAAATCAAAAACACACTTTTATGGATAACAATTACTATGGTTTATTTCACTGCGACGTTTCAACAAGGTTTCACAAGTCGTTATCAAGCATATATACAAATTTGTATATATGCTTGATAACGACTTGTGAAACCTTGTTGAAACGTCGCAGTGAAATAAACCATAGTAATTGTTATCCATAAAAGTGTGTTTTTGATTATGTTCCAATTACTAAATGCCATTCAAAGTTCAATATTCAAATTGATCATTGATACCTGTTAGATGTAACCTATATAAGTAGTTATCATATACATACCTGTAGGGATATTGAAAATACCTGGTTTGGGTTTACCATTACTGTTTACGTTCTGATGAAACATCTGCTTGTATCTAATACTGTATAACATTACTCTTATAGAAAAAATATGTTGTAAACTATCGGATGACCCGACGCTGTACGGGTTGAAAGTAGCATAACTCGGAAACCTTAAGTGGTAGTCCAACGCCACCTAATCCCCGTTCCGAGCTACCTCTATACACCAAATTTCAGTCTCGGGACAGTCCTAGTGCAGCAGCCAACCCTGAACAGACAGACAAACGGCGGTTACAAATATTAGCACAGATAAACAAAACATAATATCAACCCTGGTCCAGAAGAGAGGTGTGGGCGGAGGAGTTGACCAGGCTGCAGCCAGGTTTCCAAAAATTAGTTCTGAATTCTGAATAGTTTTCCCTCATGAATAAATAATTCATTTATACAAATTGCATTTATGTGAGTGTGACGGAAAAGGATGACAGTATACCCCCTTTTCACTTTTTGATGTAAGGGCCCCAGTGATATTTTCATCCAGGCGCCCCACGCAAAATGAATCCGTCCCTGCCATGGTCTAATCATCACAATGACATAACATACTGTAGTAGTGCAGTGTGATGAAACAGCCAGGGTTTATCTCCGCTTTCTAGAATATTTAACACAACTTCCAGATTTAGATCGTCCCTTTCCAATCGGAAAAAATAAGTTTTGTTTTTAAGTTCATAGTAACCTCTAATCAGATAAACAAGGAATTCGTATCTTTTATTTTTACAAGAGGTGACTGGGTGCTAGAAAGAGAAATTAGTAGATTTTGACTGTAAAACCACTTAGTTGTCAGACTTCGTTCAGATAATAAAAAAATACGGAATGATCATAGATTGGGACATTCGTCGCCGAAATTCACAAATAATTTAATAATTCTGAAATATTTTTTATTGGTGAATGTGACCTAGTTTGTGTCGAGTGGACGCTAAACCCCATTTCTTTCTCTCTGTTTCTCTCTTTTAAAACAAGTTATGTTTTAACTTATAATATTAGGAGAACTTGTGTATCTTTAATTAAGTGAACGGGTTAAAAAGCAGAAGTGCAAAGTAATAATGGCGGGAAGAAAATGTGTTAAGATTATCTGTTGAAAATTGTACAGCTATCTTAAGACAGACGACTGGAAGGTTTATGGTTGCCATTTGTAAGAAAGATAAGTTATTTACACCAGCTAGGTTGCAGACATGATCAAATTACTAAACTGCTATTTTTGATAGTGAAGCATTAGGTAAAGATATCCAGACTCCTCCATACCCAAAAGTGTTATAAGAGAAAACTGATAGTCTTATACTATAACCACTATAGCCTGAAAAAGCTTTAGAGAAAAACGCTTGTTATATTGTTCACCTTTCTCGTTTTACCTGATCTGACGTATTAAATTACCTGATAAATACGTAATCTGGTTGGTAATTGGTCAACATGTATGTGTATGTATGTATAATAACAGTAAAACGTGTAGGCAATTAGGTTAGTTTAAAAAAGGTAAAATTGCTTTCGTCTTTATACACACTTGAAAATGATGGTGGAATTTTAAATTTCGGGTTAATTGTCAGGATATGAAACGATTTAGGGTAACACGAATTCATACTGGTTAACATGAATGTCTATATATAATATAAGTAAAACATCAATTAGGCCACTTTAAAAAGGTAAAATTTCCCTCGACCTAAAATAATTTGTTTTGAAATACACTCTTGAAAATGATGGTGGAATTTTAAATTTCGGGTTAATTGTAAGGATGGGATACGATTTATTGTGACACGATATCCGATATTCCATCCTCACATTTTCCTTTAAATCTATGTCTACCAGATACGCGCTACATGGAGCCCGCACGTAAATAATTCTAGAGACTATTATGATGGAACTTGTTACCTTGTAAACAAAGGTACGTACGTTATTCGAGCTATTACAAAATTGAAGGTGATACTATCGTGTGATGCAATATGAAAATACAATATTAGATTTCTTATAGACCAATCTTTGTTGAGGTTATATACATTATTGTAGAATATAGCTCTCGTAAATTTTTATCATTGGTTATTTGTTTTTGAAAAAGTAACAATTAAAATGTAAAATTTATAGAATACATAGTGTAGATACTCTTCTAATTGTCCAGGAGCTGACGACAAAATAATATCAGGTACAAAAGGTTTGACCCCCACAATTTGTAGTAGGTGTCCATACGAGTAAAAATCAATTGGTCAGATCGGGCACTGCTCGGGCATATAGCCACAGCAGCACCTTACAATACCCCTCATGGGGCCAAAAATTAGGTCATAAGTTACATGGCTGAAACTTTCTAGAAGCAAAGGTATCCATAGCTGGAGTAAATATTTCACAAATCTAACCAAAATTTCCGTTGGCTTTCCGCAAGTCAGACCACACCAAATATCTCTCCACGGGGCTAATAATATGGTCATCAGTTACATGGTTGAAACTTAACAGAAACAAAGATCCATACTTGGAAAATATAGTTTTTAAAAATATAATGGCGCCTAATCTCAAGTAGATGTCTTCTGTATGACCATAGTTAGTTATACATGTACGTCCTACTGTTATGAGATTTGGAAGGTGAATTTTGTAAATCAAATAGTATACAACTAATGTCGAATATTTTCTTCACCCCTTTATGTGGGCTATTATTCATTACGATACAATGATTTTTAATGTCGAATATTTTCTTCACACCTTTATGTGGGCTATTATTCATTACAATAGAGTGATTTTTTAAAAAAAAAAAAATTCTAAAATAGGATGTCATCTTATTTGTTGGTAACTTTGATAATTGGATTAAACGGATTATGTGACACAACATTTAAACAGGAACTCTGTCGTGTCACAATCTGAGTAAAATACAGATCTATATTTCGTTTCGTTTTTTTGTATACTTTTGATGGCCTACACTGCATGAAGATCTGTTACTTTCTCCGTAACAGACCGTTCCATTGGTTAATCCTTCACTCCAACCAGAACGTTTTTTGTATACTTTTGATGGCCTACACTGCATGAAGATCTGTTACTTTCTCCGTAACAGACCGTTCCATTGGCTAATCCTTCACTCCAACCAGAACGCCGGTAATATAAAAATTCTTCCAGATCCTAGTGTAGCAAAGACAAGTAAAACGAAAATTTGAACTATAAAAACGAAACGAAATAGGATCTGGGGCCTGTTTCACGAAATCTTAACTAAAGATAAAATCAAAATTTTAGCAGATACTTCAATTTTGATTGGCTAAGCACTAAAATCAATCTAATATTATCCAATCAAATTACTAAAATTTGGATTTTATCTTAGTAAAAATTTCGTGAAACAGGCCCCCGTGTTTTAATCAGTTCGGTCGTGTCACAAAACAAATCAACATTTAAAATCCAAAGACATATAGACAACTGTGTTTTTGACCCCAAAACAAAGGTGTCTTGTCATTTAAAAGACTATTTTTGGTTATATTTTTGGTTATATTTTTCAGAATTATGCGGAGACGACAATGAATGAGTTATTAGGTTGGTATGGATATGATGGGGTCAGCAGTATGGAAACAGAACACTTAAATTTAACTAAATATCGTTCAAACTCATCTAAAGAGAGACGAAGGCATGAACGAAAACACGACGATAGTGGTGATGATAGTGATGGAAGTATGAATACATTACCAGATGATGATGACGATGATGATGACGTCGATGATGAAGATGATAATGAAAGCATTAGAAGTTGTAAGTGTAATATAATATAACAAACAAAAGAAAAGGGGCATCTGAACTCACTATGTCACTCTGTGACGTGCATACGTTGCTTCCAACAGAATGGTTAGTGCTAAATGATAAGGCCAGCTCAATTTTTCGTCATAGGTCACGCGATGTAACAGGGCTTACGCTTATCCCAACTCTAACCCTAACCCTGGACCTAGCCCCAATGCTTACCCTAACCCTAACCTAAAATGTCACCAATAATCACGTGCCCTAATCTTATTTACATCTCAGCGACCTTGACAAATAGATTTGGTCCAACAAAAAAGGATTTCTGTACCAATGAATTAGGGTTGGCGTTAGATACCCCTGGGCTATAGCTCGAATGGTATTCTATAGAGGGTTTAAGTGATGGGATACAATGACGAGCTTGCGTCATAGGTTTAGGTTTTGGGAAGATTATGTTGCTTCGATGTGGTTTTCAACGCTATAATCCTAGTCAAATATAATACTGTCGCGCAGATATGCTACAAATCGACTCTAAATATAACAAGTTCCACACCGCCCAAAATGTCTCAGAAAAACGCTATGACGTATATTTAACGAAACGTTGCTGCTGTGACAGAGTTAAAAGATGAAAGATGCATCCCAAACTCTTACACAAGCCAATGACATAAATAGAGCAAGAAACACAATATGAACACCTGATCTCACTTCTGTGTATTTGGAAAGTTCGCAAAGCTATCAGTTTATGCTCTAACATGGTGCATTAGCTTTAAAAACACTGACGGTTAATAATGTCATATTATATATATATATAAATATATAAACCCGACGGAACAGACACACATGTGGTTTCTATCCAACTTATATAATATAGGAACAGAATCCTTCATATTTGATCGTGTCTAAAATATTATATTCATACCTCTCTATACGATATCTGATCCCATATCGTCAAATAAAAACCACTCAAACTTCTAACGTTAAAACATCAGGAAAATTTGACAAGTATAATGTTATGTATTGTTAGGATCTGTCTTCTTTAGATCTATTGTCTATAAAGTTATAAAAAGACTTAAAGACAATGGTATCTTTATTCCTATCTAGCGTACTGTTAATTTAATCTGGTAATTGTAGTACAGTTTATATAAGAATATTTATACTAGCCCATGCATCAACGTAATGGATCGCAGATTGATTACTTTTTGGCGTTATATCAGTTACTATTTGGATTAAGTGTCAACATAAATTTTGCGAATTTCTGGAAATGTTTGTAAAAGAGAGTAGATGATTACCATGGCAGCTTCGATATTCCTCATTCAAAACAGGATGTTATGAAATCGACACTCTTGTCGAGACTGTATTGAGATGCACGACTCGCTCAATATATAATACTGTATCATTTTGGGTGGATTTTTTTTTCAGGGGAAATTCTAGCCTATGCTAGCGTAATCGCTTTCTCCCTAGTCAGGTTTGAAAAGAGTCTGGTTACCTGTAATGTGGGATGATTCATTGAAAATGTCAGAATAGATTAATGGCTGATGTTTTCATTACATCTATGATTTTAGTTGCTTGTAAAACTAAACTTACAGCATCCAGACAATGACCACCGTCTCATCGGCCATGCTATCACGTTACCCTTTCTTCTTCCTCTGAAGATATATTTTCGTTGAAAGTAATCAAAAGTTATTCATTCATGTAGATGATTGCCAAAATTCGATATCGCATTAATTTATTGATATATTGCTTTAATGGAAAACTGGAGTAATACGAAACTAGCGGACCCGTCTATAGTTACAGACGCGTCTCAATTACCAGATGAATCGCTGGTTTAATGTAAAATCGGTCTGAAAAATTACCTAATTATAACAGATAGTGGAATTCTGTTTGACACAACGGCATATAGCTTCACATTAAGGTTGCTAATTTATTTAAGTTTTTTTGGGGAAATAATATGAATTTTTTTTTTATATTATGTTTTTTTTATATCTTGGCAATTTTGAGAAAAAATATGAATTTTATTCTGTGTTTTGTATATTATGGGTTTTGTTTATATCTTGGCAATTTTAGAAAAAATATGAAGTTTGTTCCGTGGTTTGTATATTATGTTTTTTTATATCTTGGCAATTTTGACTAAGACATGGGGTAACTTTTAAGTTTTTATAGACTTCAAAACGTCGATCAGATACGATCCTGTAGCTGCTAGTCGAACTAGGATGTCTATGGATTAGGCACAATCAAGAAATAAGTGGCTTCGGAAAAACAACTTTTCCGGCGTAGTTCCCCCCTTGGCAGTGGTGAAGAACATGATAACGCATATTCGTTCGGGTGGAACGAAAAGATCCCTTGACAGTTGGAATTCGGTATAAGAGTAGGCCGTAGTGCCTCATAGCACACTGTATGGCGTATGTCCGTCTTCATTAGCCCAGTCAGTGCAGGACAGTATGGCGTTAAACCCTATTTCATTTAATTTATATCTTCGGAAAAGGGTAAGCGTAGGTATAGACAGTCGTGCAAAATGGATGTGATAAACTAGCAACCTAAGGTCTTGTGCCGATAACCACGTCTTGGTATTGACCACGGGTCTTTCCATGGCTATCGGGTAACTGTATCTCTATACTATTCCAGTCTGTCCAGTTGTAAATTGATACCGGCGTGATAGTGTATTCAATTAAATATATATATATATATATATATAAAAAAACATGCATTGATAGGAAACAAAATACTCCCATGGGAGATAATAAAAGGGACGGGTCCTAGAAGGATGGAAATGAAGAGGTCGGGTTCTACGGTCAAATTTCAGTGGCGGAATTTACAATTTAATGATTAATTGACATTTATAAAAAAAACTTAAACATACATTATGCAAGAGCTAAATCTGCCTAATTAACTTATCCGGATCATAATCAACTCTCGATGTCATCTTACGTGTCAGATTTTCACTGGATTTGAATCCGATCTGCTGCTCAACACTCATGTTTTTTTTTATCGTACCGACTTTAGTAATGATGATCGAGGCTATGCTTAAAATTCAAAAGCTCAGTAGAGCAATTTGACTGCAATTTTCAACATTTACGTTATCTATTTTGTAACTATTATAGCAAGAACAGTCAACTCTTTATCTAATCTTCCATAATGTCTCTTTAATGATTAGTTGAATTAAAGAATTGTTCGCCCATATAACAAAATGATAAATTTTAAGAAATTCCCAACGTTGTCTCCCATGATATTATTTGGTGTCAGAACACCAATAGAACATCGGATTAACAGTACAAGTGCTTAGGTTAAGAAAATGGTTAGGGGCGCCCATGCACTGGCAGACATGGCGTACTTAATTATTTGTTAAAAATCCATATTTAGTTTGACAATATTAAGTTTTAATTTTATCATTGTTTTGCTAGCATTTCAAAATATTCGAGGACGATATAGATAGCATTATCTTGACTACTTTCAGTTACGAAATCGAAGGCCATTATTCGCCAATAAATTATATTGTTTCGTTTAAATTCAAATTTCCTGAAATTAAATCCTTTCACGTTCGGATTAAGGGCTGTAAAGACCCTCATCACTGAAAAGGTTAGGGTGCTCCCCATACACGTGTAACTCTGTTTCTAATTGAGGGGGTAGAATGTTCAAACTTGCTGTTGATACTGAGGTGAATGTCTTCACTGATTTTGATGATGAGCATTTTCTGCGTAGGCTATATCTGCAGAGATAAGAAATGTGATTACTCAATACTTTTGAATACTTTGATTTTAATTGAATGAGAGTGATGACACCTAAATGAATGAGAGTGATGAGACCTTGACTAAGTTCGATAATGAGTATTTCCTTGCAGAATGATACACAGTTGAATTTCTCCGTGCTTGTAAAAACAGATAAATGTGCAAGTAATTAGTATCATCTGTTTATTTCGGAACCAAGGCCTCACTATTGGCTTGGTTTTATTTATTGCGGGGCCTCATTTTGTGTCCCGGGTCAGTTTCACCAGTTTCATCCGGCACTTTGTAGTGCCCCACTCGACCCCCACTTCCGTGATATACTAAACCCACGCTTTGTTTTCACAATGGTTAGTTCGGGGCTGAGTGGAATTGGTTATTATTATCGTTGACCTTCAAAAACGAACTTATCATAACCTGGTACATATTGTTAAATACATTTTAACGCCATCAAGCTGTTGACGAAGGGTGAAAGAGTGCAGACGTTTTTAAAATAATTTGACTGAAGAAAAGTCTGAGTTTCTATATAAGACAAATTAAGTATGCAAAACATGTTCCAAAATAATAAACATTTTTCGTCAGAGTCAAATGACTGTGGTTTCCCTAAGAAACTTACCTATATCAATTGTTGTAAAGTTGTGGGTAAAGGTCGATGAAACTAAGTATCAATTTCAGTGGTAGCTCCACCCATAATTTAAATAAATGTAAAAATATAAAGCAAACTTCGTATGTATAACCCCAATATTGTACCATATCTAACAGGGCCCTGTTTCTCGGAATCCTAACTAAAGATAAAATCCAATTTTAATAGATACTTCAATTTTGATTGGCTAAGGACTAAAATCAATCCAATATTATCCAATCGAATAACTAGAAATATATATAGATATTTTATGAAACGGACAAAGGTTTTATGTATTCATTAAAACTAATTGTGGGGGTAGTAGAGTTGAGCGGTTAGCTGGTAAAATTCGCGCGGACTCGCTAAAACCAAGTGGTATGACAGAATAGGTCTGTGGTTACAGGAACTATAGGTACATAGGTGAAGTTACATCATTGTTTATTCGAAAGGGGGGGGGGGGGCGGGGTCTAGTGGTCTAGAGTGCCGCGCTTCGATCTCTAGCTGACCGGTCACCTCTGGCTTGCGTTTGTGGATACGATTCCCGGTGTGGAGCGTATGTGGGCTTACTCCAGGTACCCCTGCGCGTGCGCTAAGATAATAAAAATGAAAAATAAGACTTGTCTGCTATATCACCTTCGGTGGAAGCGGACGTTAAACACTAAGAACAAAAACAGTGTTTATTCGGTAAGTTTCGGTGGTTACTCGGAGAATTGGGTTTACCCTGTTGATCAAGTTCAATGTTCTGGGGATGAACCTCGATCCATGTATTTAGATTCACAGCTAATGACAATTTGGACAGAATCGGTCTTAAAAACGTATAGAGTTGACAACCAATATACGGCTTAATTAAGGTCGCTGAGATGTAAATACGGTTAGGGCACGTAACTGTTGGCGAGATTGTAGGTTAGGGTAAACATTGAGACTGGGTCCAGGGTTAGGGTTAGGGTTGGGATTAGCGCTGGCTCTGTTAACATCTTGTGATCTATGACGAAAAATTGCACTAACCCCAATATACCGTGGTAATTATTTAACCAACTTCCTGAAACAAAACGAAAATAAAGATATACAATTCTTCACCTTCGACGGCCGGTATAATATGATATAAATATATATATTATTTTATTAATTGAGAAAATGAGATGTCTGTTATTCTATCCAAGTTATTAGAAATTTCCATTTTCTAAGAAAGGCGAAACTTGGTGTGAAAGTTGATACGCCTTAAGCTAGAATTAAGAGAGGAAAATGATTTTCTTGCCTTAAGCTCTAATGATATGAGACTGTGGCATCTCAGAATCTATAATAGTGCTCGCATTTCTTAGAATCACACATTTTAAATCATATTCAAAAACAAATATCAGCAACACCTACAGTATAAAAACTTAAAAGGGTTAAACCTCGTTGATTTAAAGATACATTATGTGAGATTTAGATAAAAAGCTGGTCATTCTTGCTAGAATAGTTCAAAAACAGATAATGCAAAATGAATATTTTGAAAATTTCATTCAAATTACTTTATTCCGAGCGAAGATATTAGCCTTTGAGGGTTTGGTAAGATGTGTGCACTGTTTGTAACCACCATACTGGTTGTTTGAAGCTTAGTCTCACCTCACCATTTTTTGATTAAATCATTAAATGGCTGAACCGTTCTAATCTAAGTAAAATTGAACCTATCCGATGGAATCGAGACTTGATTATGGTATTGGCATGTTAATAAATGTATAATTAATAGTTTATAATTATAACATTTAAGGCCTAAAGAAAGATCTCTAAATAGGCAGATTTACCTCTTGCATACATTATGCAAGAGTTAAATCTGCCAATTGCGGGTCTTTCTTTAGGCATGAAATGTTATCTAAATTATTAATTAGACATTAATTAACTTATCGAGACCATAATCAACTCTCGATGGGATCGCTAGCCTGCGATAATTACTGGATTAGAACCCGGTCTGCTGCTTCTGATTAAATCAAAAAATGGATAATCGAGACTATGTTTTTTATCGTACCGACTTTAGTAATGATGATCGAGGCTAGGCCCAAAATTCAATCGCTAAATACTCGGTGCTATACAAAAGGTATAGTGGTTCTTGTTATCATAAATAAATAAATTATCATTAAGCCTTTTTCAAAAACAACTCAGGTGATAGATCTTTAAAAGTCAGTGCTCCGAAGTCGTGGAATTTAATATCAAACGAAACCAAAAGCGCAAATTCTATTAAAGGTTTTAAAAAGTATCTCAAAATCGAACTTTTTAATCAAATATACAACTGATTGAATACAGTTCTAGCTGTGTTTGTGTCAGACTTTTACCATGTATACTAAATAATGTTCTCCGTTTTTTGTTTATGTCTTTTTTTATGGATTAATATGTTTCGATTTGTGTAATGTAGAGCGCCCGAGAGCAGCTTGCTGAGTTGAATTGTCGGCGCTATATAAATTATTATTATTAAATTAATATTTAGTACAATAAATGAAATATAATTTCTGTATTTTCAGGTGAGCCAGGGGAAACATCTCTAGCAGCCCAGCATAGAAACTTGGTATCGGCGTTAAATAAAAGACAAGATGCATCTCCAGGTATACATGAACATTTGTAATAACGCAACGTTATGTTAAACCTGTGCAGTTCACCAATCTGTGTCTCTCTCGATAGATAAGGTTGCCCCTCTCGATAAGGTTTTTTTTTAACAAAAAACAAAACAAAAAAACAAAAAACAAAAAAAAACATTTGTAATGACGCAAAGTTATGTTAAACGTTTAGCGTTCATAAATTCATAACTCTCTCTATTAATAAAAAATGAAATGAAATGAAATGAATTGAGGTTTAACGTCCTACTGTTCTGCTCCGAACTGTGCTAATGAAGACGGGCATACGCCATACAGTGTGCTATGGGGGGAATTTTGCCCGGACAGCGGCACTACGGCCTACTCTTATATCGAATTCCAACTGTCAAGAGATCTTTTACGTGCACGCCAATGTGTACGAGGGACCTCGGGGTTTCGTCCCATCCGAACTACTAGACAGCTGTCCTTGTCAGGCCCTCCGTCCTGCATCACCGACAAGGGGGAACACGACGGAAAATCTGGATGAACTTTCTCGGCCAATACAGGGATCGAACACCCGACCTCCAGGCTAGCGAGCCAGCGTCTTACCCAGTTAGCCACCGTGATCCCCTCTCTCGATAAATAAGATTTTGTAAGTACGTGATTATGTCTAGGTGATAATAGCTGATCTTTCACCATTTCAAACTGCTAAGGGCTTGTGTCTTTTAAGGAGCTTATTTTCGTACGACTATTCCTATAAATACGTATGTGGGAGGTTGGGTGGTCGAATGGCTAACGCGTGTGCGTTGCATCATAAGGTCTGTCATAGAGTCAAGTGGTGTGGTTTCGATTCCCAGCTTGTATGTGACAAGGAGTAGGGTCGCCTTTCCAACCTCGTGGGTTTTCTCTGTGTCCTCTAGTTACCTCCTACTGCTGGAGCCCCCTACGCGCAAGCGAATTAATGATATATAAATTGAACCATATGTTAGTCCCGAAATGACCTAGATTGTGTGGACGTTAAATCTCTCTCTCTCTCTCTCTCTCTCTCTCTCTGTATAAATCTGTGAACAAGGTGGGGTTATTTTATTCAAACAATTGACTGTGTATAAAGTGGGGATTATTTTATTCGAACAATTTAAAACTATCAGGCAACATAATATATTTTTTCATAACATTTCGTGTATTACAATAGACTATGTATTATAATGTGATATTATATCCTTCTAATTCTTCAAAGGGAGATTATTATTTTTTTAAAAATCGGACATTTGAATAGAATTATATAATGCAATTATTAGTTGAATGTATCACAGTGGGCTGCAGGTAATAGGATATTGTAGACGGATCAGTTTACAGGTATATAGGAGCAACCATGTGATACTCAAAGGGGGGTGAGTGTAAATTGCTTGAAAGATCTAACAAATAACGTGTTTTTGTGACTAACCCCTAGAAGAAGTGATTGAAGGGGCCATTAGAGTATAAGCTAAGCTTTTATCTTAATACCTTTATGTCACATGATATGTTCACATGATACAGTGTTTGTCATTGGAGGTTCTTTGTATTGTCTCTCCTTCTTATATAGCTTTTGATTGGATGCATCAATCTTTGTCGTGTAGGAAGCTTCGACCTCTTGTAATACGAGACTAAATGTAGACCATATTTCTATGACTGTATTTGATCAGAGTTAGTAGTTTAGTCCATACCTACATGATGACGAACAAGGCAGGTTCATATTTTGAATAGGTAATTGGGTTTTTTTTATTAATTAAATTTTCCATAAATCAGTTTAACTTTTTTCAGTAGTATTTGTTGCGACACACAGTGAGTACATTACCATGACAGGAATATAGTTAGATATCTTTTCACCAATAACTTTTTCAAGAGCTATGGATCTCTGTACCCAAATGACCAAGACCATCATCGGCTTCGGTGTCAGAAAGTTCCATGAAGAAGTTCATGTTTTTCTAGCTAGTTTTTCTCAAATAAATGGGTTCGGATGAGCCCACACAATTTTCTTGATGTTTCTATTCTATTTGTATTAAATTTATTTTTAAATAAATTGAAATCAAATATGTTAATTACATGTAATATAGGCCTATAAAACTAAGACAAGTATGCTATATACGGTATCATGTCACGCACCACCGTGTATATAAGCACACAATATAACATACGAAAGTTACGCTGTCTGTTTGAGAACAGACACGAAGCTAATTGACCGACATTAATCGACGATTGTAGTCGAAAACTTTAGGTATACTTCGAGAATTTTGAGAAGTGTTTATTCTGCTCCCATTTAGCCTTTGTGTGTATGAAAGATGTAAAACGGATTAGCTCAATATTACAAAATAATATACTTTTTTTTTAAATATGGCGGCCATCCAGGGTAGAGATCTATTCTCAAAGTAGACAGTTCTCTGTGTACAGAGTGACAATAAAATTGACCCATGTTTTGGTCTCAATAAAGCATAATAAGAATAATAAAAACATACCAAATTGATAAACATAACTGATTAATATATCAATATGTTTAAGGACGGAGAGCCACGGTGGCTCGGTGGGTAGGACGTTGGCTCACTAGTCTGGAGGTCCCATGTTCGATCCCTGCGTTGGCCGAGAAAGTTTATCGGGATTTTCCGGGGTGGTTCCCCCTTGTCAGTGGTGTAGGATGAAGGGCCTGGCAATGGACAACGTATAGTCGTTCGGGTGGGACAAAAAAACGAGGTGCCGTTACACATTGGCGTGCACGTAAAAGAATCTTTGACAGTTGGAATTCGAAATAGCGCCGCTCGCTGTCCGGACAAAATTTCCCTCATAGCATACTGCATTTGCCCAGTAGGACGTTAAACCCCATTTCATTTCATTTCATTTTATTTAGCACAAAGTTAAGTACCCTGTTTTTGATACTCCAATTTGCGCAAAATGAAAGAACGTCAACCAAGAAGTAATATTATAACGCAAGATTTTAAAAGTGTAGATGTTTGTGATATGTAATCTTATACGTCATCGGTTTAATGTATATCATCAACTTAACCGACAGCTGTTTAAATTGTGAGCGTGTGTATTCATTACAAAATTATCCTATAAAAAGACTTTTTGAAAAAAAAAAACCAAAAAAAAAAAAAACCCTACATAAATAGATATTAGATACGGGTTATCGAATAACATAAGAATAATACCCTTTAATATAATCCCTATATCATATTCTGTATACCACTTTTCATAAATTATGTCTGCTTTGTAATCTAATCTGCTGCTCAGAAGTGAAATATAATCGGCTAGAATTTGTTTTTAAAGTGGAATGGGCTGAGGTGGGTGAGGCATTAAGTATTTTAATACTATGAATTGTCATAGCCACTGTATTGACCCTTCTGTCTTATTTGTCGGGGACAAGCAAAAGCCTTTTTGAATTTCGATATGGTCCATTCCAGACCGAAATAAACCCGTAGAGTGTTCACAAGGCTTTGGCGATAGGCGCAATAAAATTATCAGACGATGATAACTAAGAATCCTTTGAAATATCTTAAATAAGTATAGCTAACAGAGGGCAAAACTTTTCTGTGATATCACCAGTGGCGGATTAAGCTCCACCAAGGCCTGAGGCGGCAGTTGCTGGAGGGCCTATTTAGTTTTTAAAGTTAGAGCCAAGGTAGTTGCTAACATTATAAACGTAATGTAACTTTATATGCCCATACGTTTAAAAAATAAGATCAGATCTCCAAACAATAGGGCCTATTTAAAATGGCGTGGGCCTAATTAATTTCGGGTCAGGGCCTATGTTGATTCCCGTTGGGCCTAAACCCCACCCCCCTAACATTCATTGTCTATGCGTTTTTAATCGTATCAGACAAGTCTAAAAAAATTTTTTTTACAAAATCTTTGGGCCTGAGGCTGCAGCCTCATCAGCCTCACTGATAATCCGCTACTGGATATCACCTCGGTGGAAGCGAACGTTATAAAGGTAATTCACACACAAAGGGCAAATCAAAAGAGCTCCAAACTTTGAAAGTTGGGGAACTCTAATCCCGGTAGCGCCTGTTTAGTCATCCCGAAGCTAAGTGACAGGGACGTAATGACGCGCTTTGTGTCATTGTTTTTTCGCCCCCTTTCAAATGGACATAAATGACGTGGAACTCAACACAGCCCAAAATTGCTCCACCCGTCACACAACCATATGAATATTAGGTTTTAGTGCCCCCCCCCACCCCATTGGGTCTTGTTCCTCATCCACAATCATGGGTCAACACGCCTCGTCTCGTTAGTCAATCGTACTGTTTACACGAATTATGGACGATGAGATTGACTAACCCACACACAGACAGACAATGGTGATGGTAATAAACACCCAAAATGAAATAGTAATACGCCATATCTAAATGAATAATATACACGATGTAATTGTATACTTGTGCTCTATCAAGTGGGTTATCAACTAACTTATGTCAAATTCATCCATTGATGAATGATACAGTAATATGATCGAGAGATTACTAATCTGTTTTTTGAAATGTTCTCTATGACTAAATCCACCGAGCAAGAGAGAGAACGGGTCTGACAATACCAGCTTAATGTAAATCTATCCCATCCATATTGACAAAGGCGGTAATTTGATGCCTAGTTTTAGATGCATTTTCAAGCCTTCTTTTGTTCTCACGAATCAGTTTACCAACATTAAACACGGGTCTGTAATAATACAGTCATTCAAATTTGGCTAAATGATCACCATATGTACCGGGGTAGAATTTCCCGTCTTTTGAACAAAAGGTTACTTAGTTAAATTGATTGGCTGTCGGGTCACAAAGATTTAAATAGATGTATAGAAAATTGAATTTTGTTTTTTTCTAGACAAACAACAAACAGGACAAGCATTAGGGTATTTTATTTTATTACTTGTTTATGTTTTTTTTTTAACAAACAAGGATTAATGTATTTTCTTTTTTTTTTTAATTTCAGGCTCCATAGAATCACCCCCGTCACCTCAGTATATTGTTTGTGCTTGGTGTCAGAAACCTGGTCTTAAACTCTTTACCCTCAAATCACCGAGTGGTGTCAAGCCATTCTGTAGCGAGTTGTGTTTTACTCAGTGTCGTCGGGCATCTTTCAAGAAAAACAAAATTTGTGATTGGTGTAAACACGTGCGGCATACGGTCAACTATGTCGAATTTCAAGATGGCGACCTTCAATACCAGTTCTGCAGTCAAAAGTGTTTGAGTCAGTACAAAATGAATATATTCTGTCGCGAGACACAGGAGCATTTGAACAAAATCAAATCTAAGGATTCCGAGGAAAACAACAACTGTGACGTAAAAGAAAAACATATTCTCATAACCCCTGACCTCTGGTTAAAAGATCGCGGTGAAAATAAATCTCCTATGGATAATAAAATGAACAGTGTGGATTCTGAACCTAGGACTAAAAGCTCGGCACCACCAGAAAGATCTAGTACTATAACATCGCAATCTGAAAACAAGGTCCATTTGACGGCGAGACATTCTAGAAGTATGTCTGATATAAAACCTGTAGAAAGACGAAGAGATAAACATAGATCGAGTACGCTGCTGGCCGATTCAAGGGATTCTCTAAGCGCTACTAGTCCTTCGAATAGTTCCCAAATATCTCCCAAACCTGCGCACCTACCACCCTTACCTGGTGTACCATACATGCCTCCTTGGGTTCCACCTCCGCACTTATTGAATGGTATGGGACCAGGCATGATGAATCCACTATTATACGGTATGATGGGACCATACGGTCCACCAATCCATTTACCGCAGAGTGCCACAAACAATAAGTCAGAAAACAGAATCCAAACCACATCACCAATGGGTCAAAATTCAGTTTCACCGGCGACATCAACAGGGTCCTTGGGAAGTAGTCCACCCGCTGCTCCAAACATGAGTGGATTTATGTCGGGTTCACGACATATGCCGCCCTTTCTGCCAGTTGGATATCCACCATTTCCATTCCCACAATTCAACAACGGTGAACTTCCATTCGGCGAAGGTGGGATACCAATGCCTCCACAAAATAATCCTTTTCCTGTGGTTGGTTCAGGAACTCTTCCGGTCACGGTTATGGTGCCGTATCCGGTGGTTTTGCCTGTACCGGTACCGATACCTTTACCATTACCAATAACGGCTGAGAAATTAGAGCAGTTCTTTAAAGATAAAGCTCAAGAAGAAGCCGATAAGCAGAAATGTTCTACAGGTACCAGAAGTGACAATATAAACAGATCACAATCGGCGGAACCAAGAAGTACAGCCCATAAACAAGATCATATGGACGAGTGTCTTCAGTGTGCTTCATGCAACAGCGGGTCTGACAGAACAACAAGTCGTAATTCCGTAGATATGGGCGCCAGTTTACGCCGAGAATCGTATGGTGAAGTGTACTCACACAAACTAAAACGTTCCTTAACGCCAAATATTTCTCCTGTATCTAGTGTATTAAAGAAATCCAAATTGACACTAACGAGTGATTCGGACGGAGCAATAGACTTATCAAAAGACAGAAAGGACACTGTTGGTAAAGAAAACTGCGACTTGACAGGCACGAACGGAACAGATTCAAAACGTCTATCGGACAAAACTGACACTGAATATATGTTAAAAGTGCCGCGTATACATATTGTGAATCCTGAAACTACTAGCCAGCAGACATTGGCACAGTCTTTACCACTTCCTCCGTCAGAAAACCCTTACTCAAACAGGCGTAGTCTTATTCTTGATGCTCCAAACATACCAAAAAGAGAGGACAGTCCGTCTCCCGAAAGGCGTTATGTACGAACTGTTTCTCGAGACATGGTAGATGCTGCTCGAAGAAGGTGTCTTAGAGCAAGGGTTAAAACCAAATAAATGTACTGTTTTGACATATGTATATGTACACACGTTCCGTTGGTATACTAACACGTGGTAGTTTGAAACGACGGGAATTTCCGATCACCTGTATGTATTATATCGAAATGTGGTATCGTTATATAATTTATAGTGTCTCACTCACTCCATCAGACGTTGTTGATTTCCTGTAGTAAAGAGGTGTGTACACGGGCTTAACAGGTTACAGCAGTTCAGCCCCGTCAATAACTCCCCAATATATATAAACGAGGATAAGGTCTGTTGTCTTGGTAATCTCAAATACATCTATTGAATACAAACATTAATATTAATAACCATTTACGTTACAGTAGTCACAAGAACCAATGTGGTCTCCCAAATTGTCTGTTTTTCAGAGTCAGAGAGCAATACTTATTCAAGACATAGCAGAGTTACTTTGCACAGAACGATATAATTATTTTTTTGGTCTTTTATATTTAAATATGGCACTATCCAAAAACTATCAATTATTTTTAATATAAGGTCGTTGTTTGTTTCGGCTTTTTTTGTTGTTTCTGAACTAGTTTTAGTTTACCTTTTGACCTAAACTGTTCACGCCAAGTCGTCAATGGCACACAAAATCACCTCTATCCTCGAAACTTAAAATTTGAAATGTAGATGATACCCTCAAGTCAAACTTAATAAAATAGACACCTTCATTTTTTTTTTATGACCCAAATCAGAGAGGTCCTATCCTTTAAGGATATTTAAAGATATATTACTTTCATGCATTTGATAGCACAGCTACAAAATCTGTGACGGGCGAAGAATATTTGGTTAGGGTTGAACATTTGGGGTGTCATTTGTGATTTGTGGCGCATATCTGAACCCGAATATATCATCAGCTACATCATCCCAACCAACAAAACGCTAAAAAAAAAAAACAGAATTAGGAAATCTTTAAAAATGTTATTTTGGGCGGCAGGGGTCCTCACCTGGATCCGTCACTGTACATAATTAGGAAACCTGAACAATTCAAATAAAAGTTATTCTGCTTTTTTTTACTGTTTGTTTCCGGGTCCACATGTAGGCTATTGGCCTATGGTTAAAACCAAAGAGAGCAGTGTTCTTTTGTTGTGTCATTTGTTTCTTACCAGTCGCTAGAAAATCGTGCAATATTCGGATGAACCGCTGAGATCGACCATTGTTTGACATAATACGAGACAAACAATATTTTCTAAGACGAATTATATACACATCTTTAATTTACATTTGTTTATGTAGCATGTTTTATTAAAGTCTGGCGTTTTGTCTATATTTATTGTAACCTAATGCTATTTCCGGTGAGGTTTGTTGAATGCATAAAGTGCTCAGCAAAACAATAATTTATTATTTTTGGAACAAAAATAAAAAAAAATAAAAATCAGTATAATTGCAGGAATATGTCATATTTTGAGTGTTACTCCTAATAAAATCATCCAATAAAAAATATGATTATGAAGAGTCGAAGAAAATGTTGACCGCCCTGGGTCGTAGTTGTGACTTCTGGAGTTATCCCCCTTATTTATTAAGCTTTCAGTTAACAGCGAGACACTTAAAATATGTTTATTTGAACAAATTAACATCTAAAAGGCATGAAAAACAGATTGTATTAGATTTTGTTTTAGTTGTTTCTTGGTTTCTGTCGTCAACAGAAATATTTATTATTGGTTAAATTGTTTTCGTTATAGTGTGTAAATAATTGGAAAATTGTTGTGATTAAGTTACAAATGATGAAGTGCTATTTTAATTGTTGTAAGTTGGTGTACTTTATGGCAATAAAATGTGAAACAAGATATAATTTTTTTTTCTTGGAGTCCGAGAAAGGGGATGAAGCGGGGTACAGGTAAAATGAGTGGTTGTTGGCTTCTGGTATGAGGGCTGGCTAAAAAGTTCTAAGCTTATCAATGAAAGATATATACAAAGTCGGTGGTTTCCATTTATTTTTCTACATAATCCCCTTCGATGTGTACACGCTTTTGACAACGATGTTGCAAGGCCTGGATGCCGGTCAGGGCGAAATTTTTCAGCCACCCTAAAAGAAAGTCGTTCGCAGCTGACATGGCGTCATCATTACCAAGGACGGTAATGACGACCGGCTAGTTCCCTTTTCATTTCGGAAATAGGTCTCATCCATTGTTGTAAATCTGGCCCAAAAATTATCAGGATCTGCTTCAAAATGGCGCAGATTGTCACGTTTCTGATCCTTCCGAATCTTTTGTCATTCCTCACTTGTTGACGATAATGTGCTCAACCCTCTCATGGGAGACGCCCACAGCACTGTCAATATCAAGTGGTCAATCGACGATCAGCCATCACGATGCGTTGTCCGTTAAATGTACATGTTTGATGCGGCTATAAAAGGTTGCAATCGTAAAATTATATTGTGGTGTTTTCATTTCTGTAGACTGATCATGAATAAATTGAATATTGTCGTCAATATTGAATATTTTATAATTGCCATGAGTGCCATTGACAGAAGAATAAAGTATTCAACCATGAAAATATTACATACATTTTTATTAACCTTTACTGTCAAATATTGCTTTGTTGTGCTTTGCTGGGAACAAAATGTTCAAGGATAATCATCCAAAAGCCTTCATTCAACTTTTGAAAGATGACATGAATTGAAATGGAGTTTAACATCCTACTGTTCTGCACTAAGTGATCTTTGGGCTAATGAAGACCTGCATATGCCATACACTTTATGCTATGAATGAAATTTTGCATTGGACAGCATTTTTTAGTCCAATCCGACATCCAAACTACTCTGTAAAATCCTGTTTAGTCTTCTCAGTCAATAAAGGGATCCAATGCGGGACCTCCCGGTTAAGCAGTGAACACATTAGCCGAATCGTTCGGCCGAATCAATCGGCGCCGAATTTTATTCGGCCGAATGGGTGGACACACTATGCTTCGCCCGATTCAACCTGCCGATTGCATCACCTTTCACGTCACATGATGAAACATGGCGGCGTCTATGTCTTCAATCTATCACGTGACTTCTTGATAGGAGTGGTGATTGGCTAATGAATTCTATATTCGGAAGCGGACACACCAGGCGAATATAATTCGGCCGAATATATCAAACCTGTTTGATTCGGCCGAATGACAGTGGACACACTAGGCGAATTTCGACGCCGATTGATTCGGCTAGTGTGTCCACCGCTTTAGAGAATCAACGTCTTACTCACTAAGCCCCCGGCTCCCAAAAGCTGCCGTAACTTAAGATCAATTCAGGTTTGTTTTATTGAATACTATAATAATATCACTATTTAGGATACTTCAATCTGTTTAAACCCACTGATAAAATGGCAAAAACAACAAACCCAGCTATATACATTGGAATTGGAGGTATAAAAAATTGTACATGTAAATTACAATTAAATACATTGTAAGGAATAAAATTATTGCAATTTATTTTGCATTTTATTACAAATGGATGTCAAATAATTCAAAATCATTTTTTTATTTAAGACTTCTGAATCTATTAAAAAGATACATATAATTACACTTTAAATGAATTAATGTGGGTGTTTATATCAGCTAAAATAAATGGACATTATTGCATACGAGCCAATTATCTTCTAGATTAAAGACTCCATTTTGGTAAAATTTATTAATTAAAACAAATGTGATTGAGCTTATTTGTCTAAATCTTTTGACTGGTATACTGTATATGTACATTTCACTGCTGTTGTTAATAACACTATATCAAAATATTCATCATGTATGCCTAATTTACAAATGTTAATAGCTTGCAAAGAAATCTGGTTGGAATAGTTTTCACCACTGAAACTTAAGTTTGAAACATCCAACTTTCTAACATCATTTACTCTTCGACACTGATGACATTAAAAAAGTTTAATGTGTTTCTATTCAATAATGATTCACTATATAAATGGGATGAAATAGAGTTTATTGTCCCTAACACCTAATGTATGTGTGTAATGCTAATTTAATGAATGAAATGAAATGGGGTTTAACATCCTACTGTTCTGCTCCAACTTGGCTAATGAGGATGGGCATAGGCCATAAAATATGCTATGAATAAAATTTTACCCAGACAGTGGTGCTACAGCTGTCTCTTATACTGAATTTCAACTGCCAAGGGATCATATATATAAATGAAATGAAATGGGTTTTATTGTCCCATTGTTCTGCTCAGACTTGGCTCATGAAGATGGGCATATGCCATAAAGTGTGCTATGAGTAAAATGTTACCCGGACAGTGGTGCTACAGCTGTCTCTTATACTGAATTTCAACTGCCATGGGATCATATATATAAATGAAATGAAATGGGGTTTATTGTTCCACTGCTCTGCTCAGACTTGGCTAATGCCATAAAATGTGCAATGAGTGAAATTTTACCCAGAGAGTGGCGCTACAGCTTTCTCTTATATTGTATTCCAATTGACAAGGGATCTTTTATGTGTAGGTACACGGGACCTCAGATAATATTGACATATACCTACACTACAGAATTAACATCAGCTACTCATCGTTAATTGATGTGGGTTACTATCATTAGGTGTGTCAATTCTGGTTTCTTGGATGTTATAAAAATTGAAAATGGAGGGGTTCACTTGTGAGAGTCTGAAATGTTTCGAATTGAGAAAATTGCAGTTGAGTGACAGCCTGGAATGCAGTTCTACCAGTACCAATAACCGGTAAATTCAATTCCGGGACATTTAATTAAATATCTCCTTATCGTACCTATATTTACTGAATAAAAACAGACAAACCATCTCCTTAAAATGTGTAAAATATACAAATGCTTCTTAAAATGGATGATTTACATGTATATTTAATATGGACGTCGAGATCTCATCATTGGGGAAGGTCCACCACCAGCTCTCGGAGGAGAAATGGCAATGTCCAAATAATCACCTATCTGAAATTTTTTGTTAGCTAATGTTACATTATCATCTGCAGATTTTCTGCCACAACATGTAGTTCCTATTTCACGTAACCTATATGTAGGTGTTCTGGGATCGGGATACACAATAGCAAAATCAAAAAATGTTCCTTTTCTTCTGGCATCTGGATTAACTTCTTTTACTAGACTAGTCAATTCTTTTAATGTGGCATCCATCCTAAAAAATAAACCAACAAGGGGAATTAATAAATAGCAATTATTGTTTCAGTAAAATAGCTTTTTCTTAATAAAAAGAACAGAAAAGGACTGCATAATAGCTAAGTAAAAACTCCACAATTGTACAGGTCTTGAAGGCAATTTAAGAGAATATTAATAATAGTCCCAAAAGATAAATAAAATACTGGGTCTTATGTTGGTTGGTATGTAAATAACAGTCTGATTAGTGCTGGCTCAATTTATTATTATTACATTTGCCAATGAAACGAAATGGGGATTAACGTCTTCCTGTACTGCACCTACTACTACTAGGCATACCTCCCATTCAGTGTAAGTACTGTGAGGTAAATTTGACCGATCAGCGGCACTTCGGTATACTCAAAATTACACTTTTATTGAATTCCAACTGTAAAGGCTTCTTTCAGGTGCATGTCAATGTGTTCCTCATTTTTTCGTCTGATTCTAACGACTATACTGTGTCCCATGCCAAGCCCTCCGTCCTGCACCATTGACAAAAAGGAACCACGCTGGAAAATCCTGATGAACTTTCTCGGTCAGCACAGAGATTAAATCCAGGACCTCCAGGTTTGTCAACCAACACCTTACTCACTGGGCCACCATGACTCCTGTTAGTAATTATATATTGAGCATCTAAATAATGTATTGATTCGATATACTGTGATATACTATAGACACAGTACTACATATATGTAGCACTAATTCACATAAAAATCTTACCATGTATATATCTGCAATTCATTTGCTGGAGTATTAGAACGAGCAAACTCTGACACGTTATGATGTCGTCCCATGCTACAGAAAACCCTCAACAGCAGCGGACATGTCTGAAAATATGTATATCAAACAAATTAATTTTACAAAAAAAAAACCCATCATCCAGGGACAAGAAAGGTGACTTTATTCTGCACTTTTTTACCCATATCATCTTAATAGTAGGCCTACATAACTTTACATACATCTGAACCTCAGCAGTAAATATTTTGGCCGTTTGGACCAAAATTGATTTTGGCCATTATTGGCTTTATTGTGGGCGTTATGCTCACTCATTATGCTGTTATACCACATCCCGTAATTTGGCTTTTAAAAGTGAGTGTGAGTTGCATTTCTTGCAATCAAAAGGAAGATACACTACGGTATCTTGTTTTATTTCAATAATTCGGTTGCGTCCTGCGGTCTTTAGAACGTGAAGGAAACTATGACGAAACAGAATAATATATGCCTATCGAGAACTGGGTCAATGGGAGAAAACCCACGAGGTTAGGCGGGTACTACTATTTTGGTAAATGGCCTTCACTCACACTGCTTTTATTTTCCTAAATTTGTAATCGGTGCCCTGAATTTCAAATCCAACATATTTGTATGCAACCGAAGAATGATAATATACAAACCTTTTCTCTGTCAATGGGTTTTTCAGGCTCACGTTGATCTTCAACAATAAGCGATCCGATGGTCGCCATTTTCGGTATTTTCTTGGATGCACGCGTGACCCGGAACTTAAAATCGGTGACCTGTTTAGGAACGGAAGTAGACTTGAACTGGAAATTGCTTAATGGCATCATTCTTGACAACCGAGTTCCCTAATGTTTAGATTGTTTATCCCGCGACAAGAAGTCGTATTGTCAGTCACGGCAAAGTATTACCTTGTGAAATCTAAATTTTTACTCCCGGCGACGTAATTATGAAACGAATGAGGAGAGGAGATACGTGATCCGCTTTATCTGTTCACTTATTATTTTTGGACAGACGAGATTTGTTTTTGTTTTGATCTACCAGAGATCTTTGGCGCGGCTGAGTTTCTTTTATAATTTATTTCATTTAAATCTATAGTTGATCAGAAGAATTGTTTCAATGGCATTTAGTAATTGAACTGGAGTATACAGGTCACAATTCTATGGAGTCCAATTACTAGAGAAGCCTAGTCGGAACGTCGCTCAGTAATAAGCAGTAATTGTATTCCATAGAATTGTGACCCGTATGATCAGAAGAAGATAGTAGTTTAAAATTCCAGCGGCCTAGATCTATTTGTTATGGCCAGCCCGATTTTCGTCAAGGTCGCAGCGAGATTAGAGTATAAGCGTTAGGCCCTGTTTCAAGAAATTTTAACTAAAGATAAAATCCAAATTTTAGTAGATACTTCAATTTTGATTGGCTAAGCACTAAAACCAATCTAATATTATCCAATCAAATTACTAAAATTTGGATTTTATCTTAGTTAAAACTTTGTGAAACACCAGGGAAATAGGGTCCAGGGCTTAGTACTGGGATTAGCGCTGGCCCTGTTCACATCACGTGACCTTTGACCAAACTTGAAGTTGGCCTTATCAAATTGATCTTATCGACAGAACCCCCTTTTTTTTTCTTACCCTAGCTACTGCCACTAGGGTAAAATTCCTTTGAAGTGGCTATAATTATTTGCCCGAGAAAGATGTGTTAGTTATCCGTATCATTTCGTTAATTCATTTTTGTCAGTATTTTTGATCGGTTACATAAATTACCCTTTTCTTACGGACACAATTATGCCGATCATGAAACAATTTCCTCCGATGATTTATTTGATGGTCTATATATTATGCTCTTTGGTTTAATCTAACGGATAAGAAATGCCAAAATAAACGATTGTGTTTAAAACCACATACCCCCCCCCCCCCCCCCAAAAAAAAAAAAACCAAAACAAACAAACCCCAAAACATTAAAAAAGCTAATCGTTCGATTAAATCATTGGTATTATCTATGGTTATCTATTGAATTTGTCTTGGGTGGAGCAATTTTTCTAATAATCAGTTATCTGTGAAAATAAAAAAAAAAATATTTAACACCATTTTCATTTACCTTTCGTTTCATTTACCCATAACATATATGAAGGAAACCGTATGTGTTCTTTTGCGCAAGCCCAATAAAATGTGTGCGTAATATACGACCTTGTCTCATCCATGAGGCCATAGTTCTATTATGGAAACTGTGCAAGCTTGACGCATGCGCTATTAGCATACCTGGTTGGAATGCTTGGGGTGCGTTTGTTTCGTACAAGGATCTGAGATCGAAGTTCGGTGATCCCGATCGACCAAAAATAATGCCTTGTAATAGGACACTGGGCTGCGAATGATGGCTTTAAAATTCAAAAGGAGCGAAAACACACTATTTTGGCAAATAGTTAATACCGATATCGGCCCTCAGCCCTATCGTGATTTATCCCACTAACAAGGATTGACGGCAAATACCTTGCAAGGTCATGAACACAGGTTCTAGATCATTCTGAAACAAACAGCCACTACAAAATGGCGATAAGATAACAAGGAATTTGTGAAAGTATTTCGTTAAGGATTGTAATCGTTACATAATACATAAAATAGTAAAAAGGTATTTGAATACGTCGTCTGTGTCTTTTACATAATGGGATAATAATAATCAAAGTGTAAGCGAAGATGGCACACACCGAAATGCACAATATTCATCACGGCCATCATATTACTATTTTGGTCTAAGTCTAAACAAGAAATAGGACTAGAAAGGACGAACAAAATTATACGACAAAGGAGGTTAGCCTCTCGGCCTAAGCCTATCAAACATCTACACGAATTTCTGTTGTGTGTGTATTGTATGTATGGATCTAGACTCTAGTCAAATTTCAAATGGATTCTACGCATGATGTCAAAATATTTTTCAATCAACAGTGCCAGTGGTCAATAACTAGAATGAACATCATTGTCATGCCCTGTAGTTGTGTTGATATCACGGTTGTGTGCTAGCCTAAACATTTATTGTTATTATTCGTACTTGGAATATATTCTGATAATCTTGTAGCCCGCAAAATCATTTAATAGAACAATGGAGAAGTATGACAGAATCAGTAAAATAGGTGAAGGATCCTATGGATTGGTTTTTAAGTGTCGAAATAAAGAAACTGGACAGCTCGTTGCAATAAAGAAGTTTGTGGAATCGGAAGATGATCCTTTAATTCGTAAAATAGCGATGAGGGAAATACGAATGTTGAAGCAATTAAAACACAACAATCTTGTCAACTTACTAGAAGTATTTAGACGGAGACGACGACTTCATCTTGTGTTTGAGTATGTTGATCATACAGCGTTACATGAATTGGATCTTCATCCTAGTGGTGTTGGGGAATCAACCACGATGACGGTTGTTTACCAGACATTATTAGCAGTCAATTTTTGTCATCAACATAATGCCATACATAGAGATGTCAAACCAGAAAATATCCTAATAACCAGAAGTGGTCAAGTCAAGTTGTGTGACTTTGGTTTTGCCAGAATGCTGACAGGTCCTGGCGATGAGTACACCGATTACGTGGCAACTAGATGGTATAGAGCACCAGAATTATTAGTCGGAGATACGCAATATGGTCCTTCTGTAGATGTGTGGGCTATTGGATGTGTTTTTTCAGAGTTAAAGACGGGTCAAGCCCTATGGCCGGGAAGATCTGATTTAGATCAGTTATATCTAATAAGAAAAACTTTAGGTGACCTAACACCTCGACACATGGATATATTTTCTAGCAATGCATTTTTTAAGGGCATGATAATACCAAATCCAGAAAGAATGGAGCCTTTAGAAGAAAAATTTTCCAACTTTAGTCCAAATGCCCTATCTTTTTTGAATGATTGTCTCAAGATGGATCCCCAAGATAGAGCTACATGCAAACAGTTACTACAACATCCATACCTAGAAAAAATGAGGGAGAAAGACCCAACAGCTCAGAAAGAGTTACACTCCTTTCGTAAGAAGGATTACAGTTCTCGATTTAGCAATACACAAGCATATCAACAATTACCGCAGTTAAAGCCACCGCCTGTATCTACATCACCAGTTCCTAACAATCCACAGAAACAGAAACAGAAGTCAACACACTACAAGAGTCACCTCCTGCCTAACATCTGACTCTTTGGCCAAGGAGTTTTGCGCCACGAACAAAAGTAATGCACACCCACAATGTGCATGTAATGCACAAGCAATTTGAGGACACTTTAAATTGTTACCTATTGTAGGAAATTATTCCACATTAATTCATTCCAAAGTCATTGTCTCGAAGATGTGATAACTAGATTATCTTAGTCAGCTCGTCTTGTTTTACTATTAAAAGATATATTCCTTTGTCACTTTGATGATATTAAAGTCATCAATGGTTATCTCAGAAATTTTTTCTAATAAACAGGAAAAATCTAATCATAGTACCTATGGTATTTATTAAGTACATTGTTGTATGTCAATCTGATTAAAACACAGATCCTATTTTGCTTCGTTTTTTATAGTTCAAAATTTCGTTTTACTTGTCTTTACTACACTGGGATCTGGAAGAATTGTTATATAATCGGTGTTCTGGATGATGTGAGGGATTAGCCAATGAAACGGTCTGTTACGGCGAGTTTTTGGCGTAAGTTGCACGGAACTGTGGGTAACCTGCTAGAAACATTAATGCTGGTTGGTTAATCAAATGTCTGACGTCATTGGGTCAAAAGTCGCTCTTATGACCTCTGACGCGACCACCCACTACAACTTGTCAGATCTTCATGTAGTAGAGTCGATCGAAAGTATAAAAAAACGAAACGAAATATAGAACTGTAGTTTAATCAGATTAATTGTATGTAAGTAAGTAGGGTATTCCTTTTCTAACCTCAAAGTTGGCCAGCTGAATACATGCGATATGTTACTTATAGCCACCACCTTGGCCTGGCTGTTACATATAGTGACTTACCAGACAACAAAAATGGCGGCTACTTTCAAACCATTTTACCTCATTTGTACCTCAAAATCCAACCACTACAAAACTCTACATAGCATTTGTTTGTGAAATGAAATGGGGTTTAACGTCCTACTGTTTTGCTCCAAACTGGGCTAATGAAGACGGGGCATTTGTTTGTACTTGGCATCATATAAACTTCAATGCCATCAGTGGGCGATAGTAATCTAATTCCAGTCCATCCCATTTATCAAAGGAAAGTAAATGAAATGAAATGGGGTTTAACGTTCTACTGTTCTGCTCCTAAACTGGCTAATGAAGACGGGCATACGCCATACAGTGTGCTATGAGGGAAATTTTGCCCGGGCAGGGGCACTACAGCCTACTCTTATATGGAATTCCAACTGCCAAGGGATCATTTACCTGCACGCCAATATGTACACAGGACCTCGGTTTTTCGTCCCATCTGAATGACTAGACAGCTGCCCTTGTCAGGCCCTCCATCCTGCAGCACTGACAAGCAGGAACCATGTCGGAAAATCTGGGTGAACTTTCTCGGTCAAAGCAGGGATCGAACACCTGAGCTCCAGGCTAGCGAGCCAGCGTCTTACCCACTTAGCCATCGTGATTTATCAAAGGAATGTAACTTTAATTGATAGCCTTTATTTTAACTTAATTATTATTGACTAAAGAAAGTATATATTGAATATTTTCAACTGTCCATTAATTCTAATAATTTCACACAGACGAGTTTATTGGAACACCAAATGTAGTAAAACTCTTATTATATGGGTAAAAATATTTTATTAGTATAATTGTTCTGTCAAATGTAATTTTTACTTGACTACGTACTCTTAATCTTTAAAAACTAAATTAATTTTGAACCGTCCATTAGCTATATTAATGTTAAAGATCATACATTATGAGAGATTAGATAAAGAGCTGGCAGTTCTCACTATTATAGTTAAAAACTAGATAATGTAAAGGGAATTTGCTGAAAATTTTAGTCAAATTGATCCACTCTGAAACAAGAATTTAGCGATAGAATTGTCGGCCTAGCCTCGATCATCATTACTAACGTTGGTACGATAAAAAAACATAGTCTCAATTATTCATTTCATGATTAAATCACGAAAGAAAATTGAGCAGTAAATTGGATCTTAATCCAATAAATATCGCAAGCTAACAATGACATCGAGAGTTGATTATACTGGATAAGTTAATTAAAGTCTAATTAATAATTGAGACAACATTTCAGGCCTAAAGAAAGGCCTACAATAGACAGTTCTAGCTCTTGCATAATGTATGTTTAAACGTCCATTATATCTAAACTAATAATTTCAGCCGTCCATCATCTAGTAATTTCACACAAGATAAAACTTTTTTTGAAACACTTATACATGTTAAACTATTATATCCAGTATAAAATTTAAAGTATTTTATTTATAATCCCTCTATATAAAATGTAAGTTTTGCTTTTTGCTAGACTGTTAGAATTGTTTAAAAATAAATTAATAATTTCAATGGTCCATTAGCTCTATTAAATTTTAATCTCCTTTAGATCAAAGCTATTAATTTCACCTGCCCATTATTTGTTTATTTTCACATTAGATAATTTTTTTTTGAAACATCCATAAATGTGTAAACTTTAAGTATATGAAGTACATGTATCTTATGTAAAGTATTTTATTCTTGTTGTAAAATGAAATTTTGACCTAACTTAAAGAGGCATTAGTGCTTAGTTCAGTAAAAAAAAAAAAGGTTTTCTTTGACATGATTTAACTATAAGCTCACATATGTACATGTACTCGAATGCAGTATACAATTTGAACAATTGGTCAAGATTTTGAACGAACCTGTATGCTAAAAAAAACATTTCTCAAAGTGGGTAAGTGTTTGAATTTTCAACAATTTTTACAATTCTTGTTGAAAGTAATAATGCCTCTTTAAAAAGTGAATTGGAGTATTTTCAATCGTCTGTTAGATCTATTAATTCTAAACCGTCCAATATCTATTAATTCAATTTATTTTGGAACACCCATAGTATAACTGTTATTTAATATTAAAAAGAATTTTATTAGTGTAATCCGTCTGTAAAATGGAAATGTAACTGAGACGCAATGAGAACACGGCACTTTATAAATGTATGATTGTATCATGATTTTATGGTGTAGTGTAGACAAAGGGGTATAAAGTACATGTACATGTATGGCTTTTAAAATGCAAAGATCAGTTTTTCAGTTGAGACCTGAATACCAAAAACATGCCAATGTATTAATTCGAGGCAGCTTGAGTACCAGAGCTGTCGCCCAATGGATGGGATGCTATTACAGTACCATTCAGTGACTGGCCTATTGTTTCCAGCAAATAGGATGTGCAAGATATCAGCCATGGCTTGGACAGCAAGGTGCGACAAGACCAAACATTATCTGACAAAATCCAAAAGATCCTTCGCTGCCAGCTTCCTGTAATGCTGTCTTGCAATGGGTGCACATTGGTTTATCAGCGCCAACACTGTTTGTGGCCATCTATGCTCTGCCATATGGCCTTAGTCAAACCATTTTGACTCAATGCTGTTAATTAATTTTGATTTTTTAACCCTTGTGCCTACCCTTCACTGTAAAATAAATATCCAGTGTGCAATCTTTCCAAAATTCATATTTCAGCGGCATTATGTCTGGCCCGCACTTAATGTCAAATCAGTGTGGCGTTTTCGTTGTGTCTCATTATATTATTCTTATACTTGATAATGTTATTGTAGGTCTATTATCAATGTTCAGTAATTGTTGTATTGTTATTGCTCTTACTTTATTTATGTATCGTATGCCGTCCTTTCCTTAAATGGATGTTTTTGTATAATAAATCTTATCTTATCGTATTTGCTGTTTAAGTTGTTATGGATGAAGGGGACATTGCTAACTAATACACTTCCTTGATTTTAGTGGTGTATACAAGATTTCTGAAAGGGAAAGGCAGGTGTCACATATTTTTCAGATTACTCAAATTGATATTAAAAAAAGGGGCATACAAAATTTGAGTTAAATATCCAAAGACATTTTTATTTTTGTTGACAGAAGTCTGTTATAAGAGTGTGCATGGTAAAAAAAAATATTCAAAGTTTTGGTGTCAAAGTTCGAATATCGACACCATCTCTATGCATATTTAATTGGCCCACTGCAATCTGTTTGTAATAACAAAGGTACAATATAATTTTTTTTATCAATATCCATTCGCTAAACCCATTGTCTTCGACAGTCTGATTGAGTTATTTTTTTAAAACACAATCTAGTGAGTTGAATGTGATAAAAATTTGATAAATTAATTATCACAGTCATTTGCCTAAGTTGGAGAATGAGTCGTTGGGTGGCCAAGTTGTCTTAACGTTATTGCGTTAGATCATTGAGACAAGGTGAGAGGTTTCAATCCTAGGCTTGTACATGTGTACATGCAAGAAGTAGTATGCTTGCGAAACCTCATCGTGGGTTTTTATACACCCACATTGAAATGTGGTTGTATTTTGTTGTCACCGCTATCCGTCGGTCCGGCGTCCACAATTGCTTGTAGACAAGCTAGAGGCTAAAGTTAATGTCGGATTGATTTTAAATTTATACACAGTGTTCTAGGTCATGAGACGAAGAATCCTATTGATTTCTGATAATTACTGCCAGAGTTATGGCCCGTGAATATCTGATTGACTTTAGATTTATACACAGTGTTCAAGGTCACGAGACAAAGAATCCTATTGATTTTTAACGATTTCCGATAATTACTGCCAGAGTTTTGGGCCTTAATCACTTTGAAATATATTGTTGATGTTCTACAGGCTGTGGGTCTATGTTTCATTACCTGACAACCTATGTTTCGATTTACTCCCACTCCTAAAGACCTTTATTCTCAAGCAAAATGAGCTAATCAGAGATGAGTGGAAATCGCCCTCCAGTGTCATCAGGTTCGTTACCGGTTTTGGCCGAGACAGTTTCTCAAGATTTTCCGGCGAGGTTCCACCTTGTCGGTGGTACAGGATGGAGGGCCTAGAAAAACGAGATGCTGTCTGTGTACACATTGGCGTGTGTAAGTAAAACAACTCTTGACAGTTGGAATTTGAAATGAGAGTAGTGCCGCTGTCGGGACAAAATTTCCCTCATAACATACTGTATGGCATATACCCCTTCTTCATTAGCCCAGTCGGTGCAGAAAAGTAAGATGTTAATAAACCCCATTTCATTTCTCTTTTTACAATAGCACCTATTACTCTAAGATTGGCTAAATCTATTTGTTAAGGCCAGCTCAATTTTTGTCAAGGTTGCTAAGATGTAAATGAATGAAATGAAATGAAATGGGGGTTTAACGTCCTACTGTTCTGCTCCTATACTGGGATAATGAAGACGGGCATATGCCATACAGTGTGCTATGAGGGAAATTTTGCCCGGGCAGCATCACTATCGCCTACTCTTATATCGAATTCCAACTCCCAAGGGATCTTTTACGTGCATTCCAATGTATGCACGGGACCTCGGTTTTTCGTATCATCCGAAGGACTAGATGTAAATAAGGTTTAGGCACATGATTGTTGGTGAGATTTTAGGTTAGGGATTAGCGTTAGCCCTGTTTACATATTCTCATTTAGCACTAACCCTCTAAGATTCCATAACAGATGGACACAACTCTGAACTCATTATTTGGGGGATTGGATGGCCGAATGGTTAGCATGTGGGCGCTGTATCATACGGTCTGTCATTGAGTCAACTGGCGGGGTTTCGATTCCCCGGTTGTACGTGACAAGGAGTATGGTCGCCTGTCCAACCTTGTGGGTTTTCTCCGGGTCCTCCGGTTTCCTCCCACTGCTAAAGACCCCTAAGCGCAAGCGAATTATTGAAATAAAATTGAACGATGTGTTAGTCCCGAAATGACCTAGTTTGTGTTAAACCCCATTTCTCTATCTCTCTCTGAACTCATTAAAAATTGATAGTGTTTTTCCTCTCATTAAGGAGCAGTGGTAGTCATGTGGTCAGGGCACAGAATGATGGACGCTTACGGCTAGCCCCCGGATCCATTCATCCTTTTTGAATTGTTTGCTTGTTCACACCAGATTTGAAAGAAATCCATTGAAGACAGTAGTCTCTATCATGTTTACAATGTATTTTGAAAAGGGGGTATAACTCTGGAACGATGAATATCGATAGGGTTCGTCCTCTCATGATCATAATGCTTCACGCCAAACTAGTTACAAATCCGTTAAAAACTGTAGCCTTTATAGCGTTACAACATTTTTTTCAAATGGGAATAGGAACGGAGGGTCGCGGAACGCTAGCTGAATATCAAGAAGATTTGTCCGCTTATGACACCAAAGCTTTAATTGCAAATTATTCAAATATATGGTAAAAGCGTTTGCCTCTTTCTTGGTCGCAAGGTTTTCTGCAAAGGGGGGATAAGTCAGAAACGGGAGCTCGCTGAGTTCTAATTATCGATAGGGCCCATCCTCTCAGAAACATTTGCTTTCAACTCACGATGGTTGATTGTGTTTGGCTGTGATGAATGTTCTTATAAGAAATATCTTCGAGGTAGTTATTATTGTGTACGCCCATTATGCCTTACTCTCGTCTTAGTTCTTTGATAAAGAAGCTTTTACATTGTACTATTTTCTTTCATGGTCTCGTAAACTAAGCTATTATGTCGAATTTGAGAACCATACTAGCATTTCGCTCAATCATAGTGCATTTGCTGTTCAGATATGAATTCGGCGACCCTGGAAACCTTTTGTTTGGCGTATTACATTTACACTAAATGTCGTGTCAAATCTGGCCAGCATTTTGATATATCGGTGATATTGGAATACCTTTCGGCCGGAACATATTTTTATGTTTATATCTGATTTAAGAGACCCCGAAAACCTATATATTTCAATATATTAGTACACTTATATAAGGAACTTTATAAGTTTCCCGCCAAAATGAGCAACAATTTTAAATTTTGCCCCCTAGCTGAATTAGCTGTCAAACGGGTCGAATTCTTGTAAAAAAACATCTTCAAGCCTAGAGGTCCTAGAGAATTTGTCACGATTTTTTTTAACCCAACTAAATAAATACCCAGAAAATGCCTCTTGGCTGCATATATAAATTTCCCCAAGGATACCACCCGGGTGGCGTCATCCGGATTCTGAGTCTACACATATTAAAGATAATAATCCATCCCCACCCCCCCCCCCAAAAAAAAAAAAAAAAAAAAAAACGTTAGATGGACTATTTCCATGTCAAGGCTTAACCTAAGGTTTGGTTGCCGGACTACAAGTAAGATTTATAGCTTTCAGTTTTTCGATGAAATAATCCCCTAGCAACATACTAACAATCGCTCCTGAAATAAACACTTCAGATTATAATGCACACTTTGGTTAGTCTGTTGCTAGGGGATTATTTTCAGATGATTGATTCCTTCTCCCTCACGGTATCACTGAGATCCATGCTGACCCTGTACGGTTCCATTTATTCTTCCGCCCACTACTTAAACGTTAACTTTTGAGTAAAGAATTTTGTTAAATACTCGAAGGACTTGCTTACGTATTTATGCTTTGACGTAATTCATTTGTGACGTATAAAGCACGAAAGACAATGAATGCAATAGCTTCAGATAAACCATCCTCAAGTATTGCAGCACAAACGTCTGCTCAAAGTCCATTTACTTTCGAGGCGCCATGCACTAATTATATTACAGTATTACAGGGAGTCAATCAATTATTTAACAATGAACTCGGGAATATTCGGTCAAAATGGAAGGACATACAGAAAACTGATGAACTAACATCGGAAACATCAGATAAAGTTGACCATGTTGCCAATAATGCTGAAGCCATTGCCAACAGATTGAAAAATGTTCAGGGAGAGCTGAAAAAGAAAGTTGAAGCTACGTCTGAACTAGAAGAAATAGTGGGTAAGATTTATTACATTAGTCTATAATCTGTATACTATTCATTTTAATTAGATGCAATATCCCTAGACTATATATCTAGTTGGAATTCGATATAAGAGTAGGCCATATGTGCCGCTTCCCTCATAGCACACTGTATGGTGTATGCCCGTCTTCACTATCCCAGTCGGAGCAGAACAGTAGGACGTTAAACCCCATTTCATTTCATATCATTATATTAGAACAGTCACAGTGGGGATCCTAAAACGATTTATCTATACAGTGTGCTATGGGGTAAATTTTGCCCGGACAGCGGCGCTACGGCCTACTTTTAAATCAAGGGATCTTTTACGTGCACTCGATTTTTCGTCTCACCCGAACGACTAGACAACTGTCAGTCCCTCCGTCCTGCACCACTGACAAAGAGAAACCACGCCGGAAAATCCCGAGGAACTTTCACGGCCAACACCGGGAGCGAACCCGCGACCAGCATTTCACCCACTTAGCCACCGTGGCTCCCTCTAAAACGATTTATTATGATTCTATTTAGTGGCGATGCGACATGAGATCAACGATATTACTATAGAAGACAGGTGGAAAGAATGCCAGAAAGAATATCTACAACTACAAGAATCTAATGAAAGAGATAGGATCGCAGAACTTTGTGCTGAAAGAGGTTAGATAGAAATACACAATTTTACAAAAATCTAAACTAATCGACCAACTACTTGAAGAATTCAGTTTAAAGTAGCAAAGTCTCTAATTCAATATCATCTAAAGTATTCGACATTGAAAACGCGAATTATTTGTCAATTTAAAACAACATGTTTTGATCTTACCGGGAAAAGATGGGCTTCTGATATCCAATATTTAGGCTAAGACAAAATACACATTTTACCATTGCTACACGAATCGTGTCCATAATGCATTTCAGCGCCATTTGTAACAAGGGACTCGATATGACAATACAAAACGATT